CTAGATAGAAAACTTTGAACTAATCTGACTGGATGATCTGGTTAAACTGTTTCTGTAAAGTGCCTTGAGATGACATGTGTTGTGAATTGGTGCTATAGAAATAAACTGATTTGGCCTGAATAGCCATCCAGCCTCCTCATGTTGGCTCAGATGCTTCACGTTTTGTTTGTTCTGAGAGATTGACACTCACTAATCATCCTCTAATCCAGTGACTCCATCAAAGAACAAGAGCTCCAGCTGTGGTCCTCCTGCTCGTCACAGACCAGGTGTACTGTATGTGGGCTTTCACCACCCGACAAAGGAATCCCTCACACTAAGCATGCTTAGTCGTAGCTACGTGAATTTGGGAGGTCAAAGACACCGATCCAACCCAGTGTGTGATCATCACGGAGGGGTCAGACCCACGTAAACACAAACGGAGTGTTTCCACAGTGATGCCAACAGTTTGCCATGAGGTCCACCTGTGTTAATCCCTTCAAAGGCTGCGTGTCAATCCAGACGACTCGTCTGAAGTGTTTTCCTGGAGGAACATGCAGGGTGGCAACACATGTGACCGTCTGTGTTTAGGTTGTGAGCTTTGGATTCACATCGCCTCAGGCTTGTGGATTTGGCCTTCGCTAGCAGGTTGCAGCATGTTTATCCTCAAATGTTCAACAATGCTTTCCTGTATATCTCCCAGATATCCATGCTGATTGGTCCATGTCAGCAGGGTGGGCTCATGTCGATGTTAGCGCTCAGGGTGTTGCAGATACTGAATTTGAAGTGTTTCCTAACATGGAATCATGGTCCAACAGCTCTACTTTTGGCCTGGTGGCGTGGCATGCCAATGAAGAATCATTATTGTCTGAAAACAGGCACAATGTTGGTGATTCATTAGGCATGGTGGGCATGGCGCGGTTCAAACGTCTGATTTGCATCAGCTGAGTCCAAAGCGTCGGACGCCAGAGTTGTGAGATCTGAACTTTTGCAGCTTGATGTGGCGCCTTAGCCAATCAGATAACTACATTTTTGCTCTCTCGTCCCTTTGACAGAAAACATATTCAGAGCTTATAAACTTCCCAGACAGAATCACCTGTGGAGCTAGTTTACCGTTAGCTTTTGTAACAAAGTGTTCATAGATCAGGGGTTCTATGTTCCTTTTCTATCTCTGCTTCTGTCTCCTTGAACCCCAGTCGGCCTCAGCAGATGGCCGCTCAAACTGAGCCTGGTTCTGCTGCAGGTTTCTTCCTGTTAAAAGGAAGTTTTTCCTCTCCACTGTCGCTACAAGCATGCTTAGTGTGAGGGATTGCTGAAGAGTCAATGAGTTGAATCAATCTGACTGGATGATCTGGTTGTATTGTCTCTGTAAAGTGACCTGAGATCACATAATTTGAATTGGAGCTGTAGAAATAAACTGAAGTGAAACTGTTAGGATTATTTTATTGATGATATGTGAGACTGTAAAAACTCTAACATAACCTGCCTGTTACTGTCAGATCTAATGTCTTCCCAAACAGTTTTTCTAATTAGGACAGTTCTTTTGTCAGAATACACAGATCAATTTGTAAATAACAGAGATTTGGGAATAAAATGATAGTATACATAGAGTGGATAACAGTGAGTTCTCTATGCTTTTATCATCACACTATATATATTTTGATAAGGCTGGAGCCACTGACATCTCATCTGCAAACGTGTATAGACTTTGGCAGACTTTATTGTCATTTTGTACACACAGGATTTATACAAAACTACATTTCGTTCAGTACAGCTCTCAAGACGTTTCCATTTTTCAAAGTGCAGCAGTGATCAAATGTAAACATAGGACTGAAATATGATTTACAGTTTTTCCAACATTTAGCTTTTTTATTTTTATTTTATTTAACAGTTCAGAAGTCTGATGGCGGTGGGGAAGAAGCTGTTGGAGAATCTGCTGGAGCTGAATCGGATTCTGCAAAGCCTCTTCCCAGAGGGCAGCAGGGAGAACAGTCCATGGTGGGGGGGTGAGGGGTCATTGATGGTGTTACGGGGTTAGCACACGCAGCGCTGGGATGAAATGTCTTTAATGGAGGGAAGAGGAGCCCCCATGATCCTCTCTGCTGTTCTCACCACTCTTCTCACCTTCTTCCAGTCTGAGGCGCTGCAGCCTCCACACCACACAGTGAGACAGCTGGTCAGAACGCTCTCTATGGTGCTGCTGTAGAAGGTGGTCAGGATGGGTGGGGCAGGTGGGCTCTCCTCATCCTCCACAGGAAGTACAAGCGCTTCTGTGCCCTTTTGACCAGTGAGGTGGTGTTTACATTCCAGGTGAGGGTGTCTGTGATGCACCCCCAGGAATCTGGTTCTGCTGACCACCTCTACAGCTGAGCTGTTGATGAGCAGTGGAGCGTGGTTAGGCCGGTTCTTCCTGAAGTCCAAGATGATCTCCTTCTTCTCCACGTTCAGGATCAGGCTGTTATCTTTCCTCCAGTCCACCAGCTGCTCCACCTCCTCTCTGTAGTCCAGGTCGTTGTTGTCTCCGATAAGGCCCACTTCACCATGTGAATGGTGGAGAACCTTGTGACACAGTCATGTGTCATGATGTGATAATGCGCCAGACTGGAGCTGTGTAAAATGCTTCCCTAATTGTGATTCGTGCCACTTCATGAGATGTGAGCCCGGTTGGTAAGCAGCTGCCTTCTGTAACTCTAAGCAACTTCTCTGAACTGAGTAAGATTATAATTTCTATCAGAATCTGTTGTCCTGTCTCCTGGTTATTTACGGACGAGGATTAGGGCCACTGAAAAAATAAATATGTTAACTGATTTTTGAATTTTATTTCAGTTTAATATGGGAAGAAGTTCAGAATTCTGACTTTTTTCTCAAAATCCTGTGTTTAATCTCAAACTTCTGACTTTATTCTCAGAATTTTGGATCTTAATGTAGATGGGCACCATGAAGGAAGAGATGTGGAGCACTCAGCTTCACTGACAAAGATGTGAGTTGTTTGGGAGGGCCAGTAACACTTTGGTGAACAATTACAGAATTATTAGTTTTTGCGTGCCTAAGGGGTCGTAGTGATGCTATTTCATTAATAGAAGAGCAGAAGGTGATTAAAACAAGAGAACTAGTTAGTTTCTAGACAAGGCTACTGCTTGATCTTAACATGTGTGTTAGCTGTCAGAATTCAGTCAGAATTCTGAGAAAAAAAGTCTGAATTCTGACTTTTTTCCCTATATTAAACTGAAATATTAAAAAATCCTTTAACTTTTCTAATTCTTCAGTGGCCCTAGTCCTCTTCTGCAATTATCTAATACGTAAACATTATGAAGTGTTATTTAAAGAGTTTGTCACAAATGATCATTGCTCAGGAAAAGAACCAGAGAGAGAAAGCTTCAAGATCTAAGCTCTGCCCAAAATTTTAAAGTAAAAAAAAAAAAAAATTGATTAAGTTCCTTTTTTTTTTAGTTGTTTTTAAAATACAAAAATACAAGTCTTTAATGTGTTTTTCAATCTGCTTTTAAATTTTGAAATTATAATTTTTTTTAACAATAATCATTTCTTTTCACTACTACCGGTAAATGTTTTTTTTTACCTTCTGTATAAAAATTATTTAGTTTTTGTGTTTCTGATGTTTTTTCTAGTTCAGTTTAAAAAATTAATCTAATTTTCTCTTTTCGGTTTCAATTTTTTTTCACTGTTAAAGTTTAAAAAAACATTTTTCAGTTTCATGTCTTTTTGTGTCCTGTTCCAAACCGACTTTTAAATATTTTCTAGGAAAAGCACAGATTTTGCTCCATACAATATTTTTTTTTCATAATTAGAAAAGAAGCAAAAAGCGACACAAAGGTAGGAAAATGAAACCCCTGATAAGAAGAGGAGCGTCACCGTCTTTAGGTGAACAGTTCTACGCTCTGCTATCAGGTTCCTGTTCTGGTCCAGATCCAGATTAGAGCCATTTATGCTAAAGCAAAACTATTTAAAGGTATAGAGCATGATCTTTTATTTCCAGGTGGATCATCTAAATAAGTGGTTCTCCTAACTGTCAATCATTCTGGTGATATGTTTACGTAAGGCAGTCCTACATTCTCACGCCGTTAGCAATCTTTTCTGCGCATGCTCACTTTCAGGCGTATATCTGTGGTGAGCTACGGTTTCAGACGGTCATTGAAGCTCACCTTTCTTACAGCAGTTCTTTGAAAATGGCCGAGGGTCGTAAGAGAAAAAGTGTTTACGAAGTGCGTGAGAAAAAAAGGAAGGCCTCGGGTATATCCCCGAATTCTTGCGCTGTCAGGGTTCTGCCTTTTGTTTAAGTTTATTTTTTTTTTGTATTTGCAGTTGTTTTTTAGCAGTGTTTTCTTCTTGGGCTGCTCTCTGTTGCCCCCTTGTGTTTGTTTCCTTTCCCCTTGGCTTTCTTCTCAATGCTTCCATCCACACCTGTTCCTTGTCAGCTCATTAGTCCAGTCTTGGTTCTGTCTCCTATATATACTCTCCCGGTGCAGTTCCTCAGTGCTGGCTCCTCATCTTTTCCTGGCTCCTCATGTATGTTTTCCCTGATGTCTCCTAGATTCTGTTTTTTTCTGTATTCGTTATTTTGGATTTTTGAATTTCTGGCTCAGTTGCTTCATTAAATCTACAAAACTCACCTCTGCATTTGGGTCCTCAAAAAGTTCAACCCAACAGTGACGGAGACTCTCCTCGCAAAGCATTATGGGATTTACTGTTGCCACCTGACAGCGGCGACTAATAACAATCATGGTGCAGGCCTTGCGCAGAGGGGGAGGAGTTATGTGACCAATGGTGCAAAAAGTAGTGATCATCTGTCTGAACAGTTAACTTACGGTAGTTCACTATAAAATCAACTATATAGTCCCCGCTCTATATAGTGATGGAGGGATTTAGGGGTTAGGGTTGACGTTCAGACACAGTTAGCTGGTATGAGCTATGAGAACAGAACTTTTAAATAGAGCGTGCACGAGGAGAAATGGGCTCCTGCACGCTCTCGCACACGCATTTGTTTTAAAATTAAATTTTCACAATTTGGAGAAAATCTTCCACGATACCTTTAAACTCTGAAGCCAAACCTACATGAGGAAAGTTTAATTCCAGAGGTGTATTCCAGAGTTTGCAGGAAACATGAGGACCAGAGGCGTCACCATGTAGGAAATATATCTCTTTATTGGTTGAATGTCTCTGTGTGGGTCATGTGATGTGAGCCGGGTTCTGTCTGAAGTCCAAGCAGTGCAGGGCGGTGGCCAGAGCGGCGTACAGGTGGGAGCTGCTGAACCTCAGGCAGTAAACTGGGCTGCTCACAGAGTCTGAGCTTAGCTGGAAGAACTGAAAACAATGTTTCTGTTAAATTCCTCTGAAGGGGGAAGTTTTCCATCCCACTCTGAGAAAGGAAGACCTACCTGCAAGCATCTAGCCTGTCGCTTGTCCCAAATCCGGACCACACCGTAGTACGAAGAGCCGCTGGCGATCATGTTATTCCCGTCGGTCTGGATGCAGTAGAGAGCGCTGTCATGAGGCTCCTCCCACTCCATCACGCACTTCCTGTTGGAGGAAAGCAGAGATTTGATTCCAGTGATAAATCCTTTCCCTAAAATGCCATCAGAACCCTTATAATATTACATGTGTCTCAGACCCCCCCACCCCCTTCTTTTCAAACAATGCAAAGAGCAGTGTTGCCAACTTAGCGCTTTTGTCGCTATATTTAGTGACTTTTCAGACCCCTCTAGCACTTTTATTTCAAAAAAACACCTAGCACCAAATCTAGTGACTTTTTTTCTGCTATTGGATACCTTGGAGACAACATCTAAAAGCAGCGAACTCTGCTCTCCAGAGC